GGACAAAACATTTCAAAAATTTTAATTATATATATAAACATGCCAGTCCAGGTACCCAATATTTACAAAGTATTTACAGATTGTACTTCCCAAGACCTAACTTTACAAGACTAGCATGAACACAAAAAAAAAAAAAAAAAAAAAATGGCATTAGGCTTCACTCGGAACCTCCTTGGGAGGCACAACAGCTGGCTGACAAAAACAGAACAGAAGGCCGTCAACTCTAGCCCTGGTCATGTGCCGGCTCACCTACATACATAATATAAACTGTGAGCGAAAGCCTAGTGAATAATAATAGAGTAAAGGGTTTCAATGAATGAGTTCGTACAGATTCAGAAATCATAATTCAGTTTCATATCAAAATCATAGTTTATCCAGATCATATACAGACAAAAATCATAAGTCATGATTAAGTTTACGTGATACATCCATTAGCATTAACAGAATAGAACAGAACAGAACGTATACACGTGGGGTTACGAATAACCAGTCCCATAAAGGAACCTCCGGATCTGAGTAACAGAACAGAAGCTGAGCCCCCGTGACAGGGCCTCCGGTACGGGTAACAAAGTGCAGACAGAAATAAGTTCCATAAAGGAACCTCCGATACCGGGTAACAGCTAACAGATATCCCATGATGCTAAGGATGTCACGAATACATATCAGAAATTGAACAATCATTCATTGTACAGAACATATCATTTTGGAAAACAGATCTTGTTTTATCACACAAAAAGTAGATACAGTTTGAACATAACTTTACTAAATTATTACTCACTGTTGGCCTTGAAACAGACAGACGGAGTAGATTGATCACACAATACGCGGTACGTGACCTACATAACACATAATGGACACACACTTGAAACACACATTCTAATTGGACAAAACTTACATTGTTGGTTCTTAGTGTGTTTCTAACTTCAAATCCTCACTAAAGAGTCTTAAACATGGCCTAGGAATGCCTAGGATGGAATGAAGATGCAAAGATGCCTTGGAAAACATTTTTCAAAACTTGCTGAAAACAGGGGTCTCGCTCAAGCGTAGCTTCCTTCGCTCGAGCGAGCTTGTCAAAACAGAGGGGTCGCTCGAACGTAGACTCCTTCGCTCGAGCAGTCTGTAAAAATGCAAAAGTACTGGTTGTTGAAATTTTACGCTCAATACCTGCTCGATGCTCGCTCGAGCGTGAGACACAGCTCTTCGCTCGAGCATAGGTCTCGTCGCTTGAGCATGCGTCTGCGTGCACCAAAAACCTGAGGGCTTGCAATTTACGCTCGAGCCATCAATCCTTCGCTCGAGCGGAACTCTGAGCAAACGATGGTTGCTCGAACGTGGAATCCTTCGCTTGAGCGAGGAAGCCAAATTCTGGAATTTCCAGATTTGCCTCCTAAGCTCAAACCAAGCATTCAACACCTCAAAACTCGACCTCTTGGGCCCATTTTCTGGAAACACTTGTAAACACATAGTATAAGATGTTTCAAAGATTAATTTGTAAAATCAAGCCCAAAAGGTAAGTCAATTAAACACAATTTCAAATAAAATATCAAGAACAAAACTCCTTGAATTTGAGCTAAATCTCTAAATCTTGGACCAATTTTTCTGTTCTTACGGTTTTTTGGGTCTAAGAGGACTTAAGAGCGTATATAAAATGAAGAAGGGAGTGAGTGGGGTCTAAAATGGTCCATAAGTGGTAATTGGTCAAAAAGTAAATAAATAGCATTATTTTAATCTAGTTTAATCGTTCCGAACCGAATTTTAATTAAACCTACCATAAAATTCTATAAATCCTAACTAGTACATAAATCAAGTCAATTTCTAATTCGGACGCCGATAAGGCTTCCAATTCACAGTTCAAAAGTCTAAACATGGACAGATCATTTTATGGCAAACAGATAGAAACGCAAAGATAATGCAATACATATGCAAATTAATTCCGGATTCCTTCTAAATTACGGTTAGGCATAACTAATCATGGATTAGCATTAATTAGAGTTCGGGGTTATTACACTTTGGCTTTGGAACATGTTGTGCATATGTTGATTGCATGATTTAGTGTCCTTAGCATGCCATTTCAGCACTAAATTTCTACAATCTTCCTCCATGCTTCACTTTTGAATTTGATTTTGAAAGTGGTCTTAAGACCCTTGTTGGCTTAAGTATGAAATCGAGGCTCTCATGCCTAATGGTTTTAGCCTTCTCTTGAGGGTTTCTACTAACCAAAAGCATAAGGCTCCTTTCATGCTTAAGGTGCTTGTGGTTTAGGCCATCTTTCCCGTTAGAGGAGTTTCACATTGGACTTAATCGGTTAAAGGATTAATCGATAATGTAAAATGTGTAAACAAAACGAACCAAGTAAAACATGACTAAGATAAGAATGTTGTTTGCATTGCATATGTTTGGATCGAACGTTAATCCAAACACAAGAAATGTGAAACACAAGAAATGTGGGACGTTTCATACTCAAAGTGATGAAACGTGTCACATTTCTTGGTCTGCCGACACCCTTGATCATGCATGATAGGGTGGAGGCACTTTGAGTCTTATGTGCGCATTCACTGAGCTTGTACAAGCTTGGCTTTTGGGCCATCATGCACTGAGATGCTTAGTTGGTGGCTTGAAAGTCGAGCTTTCCTTGCAAATACATTGTTGTGCCTCTATTGTTCTCTGTTGCAGCAAAACCAGAAGCCTGGAAAAGCAGATGGACGACCGGCCACTTGAGGTAGCCGACCGGCCACTTAAGGTGGCCGATAGCCACTTTTTGTGGCCGACTGGCCACCAGTCCAATTTTGTGCAGAAATCATCTTGTTTTATAGTAGAAACAGTGTAGAGTTTGGTTTAATGTTAAAAAACCAAGGCACGGGCAAACAGAGGCAATTGGCGACAAAGCAATGGATTTCTGAGCAGACGCCAACCGAGCATGCATGCCTTCTTCGCCCGCGAGGCCACTTTATCGCTTTAATTAGTTAGTATAATTATTCAAGTGTTGTAATATTTTAATTAGTTTGTGTAATTAGTTATTTTAATTGTGCTGCAATAATTAATTAGCTAGAATAGTTAATTAATTGGTTTGTAATAAGTAGCTTAGCTTAGCATAGCTTAGTTTTTATTTATTCGGACCCTCCGTCGTGAGGGCATAATCACTACAAGAAAAAGGGACTTTATACCATGGAAGCATTTGCGATCGTACACTTGCCGTCTCAAAAAGCGACTTTTTGCGATGGCACAACTTGCTATCGCAAAAAAGACTGGTTTTTGCGACGACACAATTTGCTGTCGCGAAAAAGGTGAGTTTTTGCGACGGCACAATTTGCTGTCACTAAAAAGAAGAGTATTTGCGACAGCAGAAATTACTGTCACAAAAAAAAAGAGTATTTGCAACGGCAGAAAATGCTGTCGTGAAAAATGAGATTATTTGCGACGGCAGAAATTGCTATCGCAAAAAAAGGAGAGTATTTGCAATGGTAGAGATTGCTGTAGCAAAAAAATAGAGTTTTTGCGACGTCACCAGTAGCAGTCGCAAAAAAAAAAAGGAGTTTTTTGCGACTGTAATAGGTACTGTTGCAAAAAAAAATAAAATTGTGGCTTTGAGACGGCTTCATATATATATATATATATAGTCACAAAATGGTTTGAATAAATGCAACGATATTTTTTTGTCGCAAAAAAAATTAAAAAAAACGATGTCGTCTTACTATTTTGATATAACATTTCTCTTTTCACATATTTTTTCATCTTCCTGTCTCTCTTCTCTTTCTCTCTCTCTCACTCATCACTCTTCTCTGTTTATTTGTCTGTCTGTCTGTCTGTCCCTCTCTCTGTGTCTCTCTCTCATCTCTCTTCTCTCTATCTCTCTCATCTATCTTTTCTCTCTGTCTCTCTCTTCTCTCTATCTCTTTTGCTCATTTCTCTTCTCTCTATCTCTCTCATCTCTCTTCTCTCTCTGTCTCTCTCGCTCATCTCTTTTCTCTATATCTCTTTCTCTTTCTCTCTTGTTCATCTCTCTTCTCTATCTGTCTCTCTCTTTTTCTATGTCTCTCTTTCGTTCATCTTTTTCGGCTCTCTTTTTCTCTCATTTTGTCTATCTCTCATTCATCTCTTGTTTCTTTCTCTCTATGTCTCTGTCTCTCTCACTCATCACTTTTCTCTATTTCTTTCTCTCTTTGTCTGCCTGTTTGTTTGTCTGTGATTCTCTCTCTCTCTCTCTCTCTCTCTCTCTCTCCCACTGTGTTCTCCTTGCTTACTCTTTCATTCCATTCTTCTCTATTACCGAGCTCCCTCTCGATTTATCTATCCACTATAAGAAAATGCACTTTTAGCGACCACTTTGTCGCTCTTTCGCTCATTACTTTGTCTTTGTTTCTCTCTTTATATCTCTCTTCTCTATCTAGCTCTCACTTATCTCTCTCTATCACCACCAATCTCCTCTACCACCTTTACCACTACTGCAAATGCCATTCCACTACTACCACTACTACCACTACTACCACTGTTGCCACTTCACCTCTACGACTACCATTACTACCACCATCGCCACCACTCTACTACCACCACTACCACCATTACCACCATTACCACTACTAATACTATTACCTCTCCTCCATCACCGCCACTCCATCTCCTCTACCACTACCACAACTTCACCACTAATCTCTTTCACTACCACCACCACCTTCACCACTACTACCGCTTCCTCTCCTCTACCACAAAAAATCAGTTCCTGATTTTTAGTAATAAAACAAAATGGGCTGTAAAAAAATATTTTCATTGACAACAAAAAATTAACTTTATTTTAATGGAAAATATTTTTCATTAAAATATTATCCGTTCTTCTACCAAATAAAAAATAAATAAAAAAAATTCATTAAAGTAAAAATAAAACAAATAAATATAAGGCTTTTTTTTGGCTCATTTGCGACGGTCCCTATTAAACTCGTCGCAAAAACTTATTCCTTATTTTTACTTTCGCGCACTGGACCCCATACCCAAATTTCATACTGGCGCCCAATTTTTTGGCCTAAATCTGTTACTCTTCAGACGGTTCTTTCTCCCCCTTCTCTCTCTTAAAACGCATGCTCACTCTCTACCCTAGCTACTCCCTCTTCAGCGCCACCGCCGACGTCACCCGTTCTCCTCCTTCAGCGCTGCCACAGACGTCGTATCTCCGAGCAAGCGTTAGCGCCGCTGCCGTCGCTTCAAGTATTCAAGATTTGGGGACAGACATTGAGAAACATCACGAGGTATTTTTGATCCCTTCTCTATCTCTCTCTATCGATTCGGTTTTGGCTATGAATATACTTTTCATCTTCTCTCTCTAGGTTTGGTTTTGAATATTTTGTGTCATTTCCTTTTTATGATTGCTTTGTTTTTTGATTGGCCCTTTGTATATCTTTATTCTCTCTTTGTTTGGGTTTTATTTTCTTAGATTTCCTTAACTTCTCTTCATGTATGCTACGTATTTGATCAAATGTCACAATGTACAAGAAGAACTTCTTTGAAAATTTAGACTATTTCATTTGCTGTATTTATTTATTTCTTTTTTAGCCTAAGATGCAATGTATAGTTGATATAGTTCTTTCTTTTTGTACCTAGATTTCACCCCTTTGGTGCCTCATTAGCTATTCACGTATAAAGCTGCAATCATTCCCTTGCAAGAGTTTACTTTAGTTCAGCTTTCGGTTTTTTTTATTGTAGCCATATTTTTTAACTTCTATGGGTTAGTTTGAGACCCATAGCTTCGTCAAGTTCGATTCTTACGTGCGGGACTTTGTATAAATCAGACCTAAAATTTAATTTGCATACTTTCAGTTTTGATCATAGTGTTATTTGGGTTCCCTTCCGATTGTAGTTGTTGGAACCTTCCAACTAACTGCATCAAAAGTTAAATTTGTTTACTGTTTTGTGTATAATTTACCAACCAGTGATTTAGTATGTCTCATAAGTCATATGGGTTTTCAAAATCTATTTTTATTGTTTTCAGGTTTTGGCGGATGGTTTAGCTACTTTACATGTTCCTTATGCTTATGGCTTCGCAATTATTCTCCTCGCTGTACTCGTTAAGGCTGCTACCTTTCCTTTATCAAAGAAACAGGTTTTTCTTTTGTCTTTGCTAAATTTGAATTGGAATTTTCTTATATTAAGCTGATTGATTGAGTTCCTCAAAATCTAACTTTTTGCTTTAAGTTGGCTAACTTATCCAAATTTGGAAATGAGATCCTCTTCAAGTTTTAGTTATTATAATGAATGTCTTCTAAAATTAGTATGGGCAGGTAGAATCTGCAATGGCAATGCAATCCCTACAACCTCAAATAAAGGCTATTCAGCAACGGTACGCTGAAGACCAGGTTACCTTTCATCCTGTTCTTTGTTGGAACATTTTCTTCTTAGCACAGAATCAGATTATCAGTGCCGGCTTTTATATATGCTCTGATATATAAAACTACACATAAACACAAAGGCAAGGGGCACATAATTTGTGTTAAGAAGAGAGAGAGTATTTGTAAACAAAAGAATTTTTGTTTGGTTAATAGTTACACTTCAAGCTGGTTTTTTGAGTATTTGTAAACAACATTTAGATCTGACATGACTTCAGCAAATTAAGTGGTTATAAATAATTGCTAGTTTACTTAGCATCTTGGCCTATAATGTGAACCATTCGTTTATTGCCCTATGAAAAGCCAGTGATGGTTCAAAGTGTGTTGACAAAAGAGCTCTCGCATTATCAATATAATATCCAATCCTCACATTTGTATGTGATTGCAGGAGAGAATTCATCTTGAAACTGCTCGATTGTATAAACTAGCTGGCATAAATCCATTGGCAGGTAGATACTCTTGCTCATTTCCTAGTAACTGAGTTTTATTGTGGAGGGATTTGATTGCATATTTGTATTCATGGAACATTTCCATCATTTATCGATAAAGACACATGATATGATGTTTTGTATTAATGACATAAGTATATCAAGGGAGAGTAACAGAATATATGCCACTAAAAGTGTGTTTGCTTTTCAAGTATTGTAATCATCAATGGATATATTGCTTGTAAATATATTCTGTACATTTTAAATGATTTCGAGCAGCTCATTAATGAAAAACATATGTAGTCTTTGAAAAACATATGGCCTTTCGTCTTTAAGTGTTAAATGTTAAGAAGTTTGAAAGGCATTAACCATTGGACATGGTTCTGTTAATATTACAGGTAGAGTATTTCGAGCAGCTCATTAATGAGACTTTAGCTTTTCCTCTAGGTCTTTTGCAATTAGGCCTGTATGAAAATATTTGATTTCTTGAGGTCTTGTTCTTCCTGATACACTTTGTGGTTGTAAGCCTAGAATTATTCTCATGTAACCTTTTTTTTTTGTATTTGCCAGGATGTCTGCCAACTCTAGCCATCATACCCATCTGGGTTGGACTTTATAGAAGCTTATCAAATGCAGCAGATGAGGTAACATGCTAATATGTTTTTTTGAGTCCTTGTAACCTTTGTTGTTTCTGCTTTTATTTTCTCACTGAAGCATCTTTGGCATCTAATTTAATGTTCATTATAATATTAAGGGACTCTTGACAGAAGGCTTCTTTTGGGTACCCTCCCTGTCTAATTTAATGTTCATTTTGCTCCCTCTCGATTTATCGATTTCAGTTTCCT